AATCTTTGTCCTAGACCAAAATATCAAATTAGTGACATTTTATGAAAAGTTGACTTCAAATGTGATCCTTTTTTTTCTAATCTTGTCTCACATCAAAATCAACAATAACTCATAAAAAATACCCAAAACTAGTAGTAATGTAAAGGCAATTCTACCACTTGAAAATCGACAAACTCTCAAACAATCAATGCAACAAATTTTTAGGGTATTCCAGTAATATACATCCACAATAAAGCTTGAAAAACTCGACATTCATTCCTAATAATTGTGCTAAATTATTTTATAATTGTTTTGGCAAGTAAATTAGACTGATTGAATTTTTAGGGCATTCATATACATTTTAAGATTTTGTTATTATAACTATGAAATCAATAGAGGCAAGTGTAATTTTTAAAATTTTAAGGATACTTAATGAAATTGTTAGAAACCCTTGGAAAGTTTTTAAAATCACATCACTATTTGCCAAATGTCATTCACACACTAACTTCTTTTTTTATAAACAATTTACGCTATAAATTGCACTATTACCTATCCAATACTATTTTGTACGGGGAAGGATTGAGTTGGGTGATAAGATTGAAGGGATTATAAATAGAAGGTCTTGAATTCATGACTTTCCACTTACAAAAAAGGAAGAAAAACTAATTTATATTTTGTTTTGATGAAATACTCATACTATTCTTGAGTTTTTGCAGTAAAACACCACTCTTGAGAATTCAATTAAAGGTCCATAGGTTGTCCATGAAACTACACGAACGTTTTCTAGGTAGGATCTTATGTAAAATAGGAAACCATAGTATTTCTATTTAATTATTTTTGGAAACTAAGGAAAAATACCTATTCACTAATGATAAATCCACACCCTTCCCATTATTTGCACTACTAGTTATAATGACTTGTACTTAATGCTCCAATTGCACTTCAAGTATTTTCACATTCCCAAAATAACTCCACCCTTATGGTTGAAATCCAAAGACCATCTTTGCTTTAAACTCATTCTTATATAGTATAAGGAAACTTAATTGGTGCTAGAAGAATGAAGAATAGGTGATGAAGCAAAAAAATGAAGAATAGGTGATGAAGCAAGAAAATGCTCATATCATAAGAGCCAAAACTTTGATTTTCAAGAAAAGGAAAGAAATTATAAGGAAGAAAACTATGGAGCTCTTGACTCTGTGCCATGTCAAGTCTTGTATCATTGTTTTAGACTCAAATGGAAAGGTCGACACTTGGCCTGAAAGCCCACATGAAGTGCAAGAAATCATTAATGTCTACGAAGTTTTAAACAGCAAAAAGGATTGCAAGTTCAGGAAGGTGTCCAAACCAACTGGGAAGGTTCAAACTTGCATTGAAAGCCCTGATCGCTACAATGTGCAAATCATCAAAGGAATGTGTTAAGGTTTGTTGAGGAGATTGAATGTTTTCTTGAAGTTGTGGCCAAGAGAATTGATTTCTTGAAAAGGATATGCGTGGGCAAAGAGATTGTAGCTCTGAATACTATGGAAGAGAAACTAGAGTAGGCCTGTCAATCGGGTCATATGAGTTGGACTTTCATAAGTTCAAACTTCGCTTATTTAATTTGTAATACTTCGAGATTCGGGTCATGACTTTTGAGTTAATAAATGTGAAGATCATATTCAACTCATAAAATATTCGAATTTTGAGCATTATTTGAGTTTAGTCCAAACTCATTTATTACTCCTTAATTTTCTTAATATAATTATGATAACTATTAAGTTGTAAAATTAATTTAACATTCACAGGACTACAACATTAAAATTAAACATGAACAAGTAATAATTCTTAAAAAGTACATAAATCAAAAAATTTTCAACAATATTTATATCTAATTTGTTCAAAATACATGAAAAATAGTAATAAAACATGCGGTCATAAGCCAACACATCTTCAAAGGTTGGAATTTCTTCATAACCTTGTAACTTAAATCCAAACATGCTTGATGATTTGTGTTTTAGACCAAAAAGGAATCAACCAATATTATGCCAACATAAAAATTTATCCAATCAACGAGAAAAGTTAGAGTTTCAGTTATGCTTTACCAATATTAACTCTCAAGAAAGCTAGTAAAGGAGTTTTCAGATGTATTTTTGTATTTTGTAATTTGTATATATTTAGTATTTAGTACTAGTATATTTGAATATATAATTATATACAATATCAAAGTATAAATATGATATATCATTATATATATATATATATCATTATATATATAGGTCATGAAGGGACCATGTCTATATTGGATTTGAGTCTAATGAGTCCCAAACTCATCTCATATTTAATTCGAGTTTATGTTTTAGGCCCAATCTCAAACCGACTTACTGAAAGGTCGGGCTCATAGGACTTTTTCTCAGGTTGAACGAGCTGAGCTCGGACTGACTCGATCCCATTGACAGTTCTAAACTAGAAGAGGATTTTTTTTTTTTTTTATCTAATGGATTTTCTTGATGAAGAAAAACATCAGAACAGGTATCCCCTGTTTAGAATGAACTCTCAAAATCCACAATTTTGTATTGCCTTAAAAAGTCCAAGATGGGTTTAATCGAAGGGTCACGTACCAGTATTACTGATCATGAGTTGCGTTTATTTGAAGGTTCATCAGACTTCGAACAACAACAGTGCAGCCAAATTCTTCATCACAGTAACTGGTTTGACACTACTGCTTTTGAGAGGTGTTGTACCTGGTTCCTACAGTGCTGCACCAACCCACAATGGATACAATTCTTGTTTGATTGCACTGCTGCTGCCTGATTACTCTTTCTGACCTCTAATTTGTGAACTTTTTTGCTTTGCATCTGACTCTGAGATAATACATATAGCAATGTAGTCGTTCTTTTTTACTAATATTTTTGAACATAAACAAGAGTTGATGTGTAGTTTTTGTGTATTTAAGCTCTTTAGCAGGGAATACATTTTGCTAGAAACATTCTTGGTCAAATTTATAATATGACTTTCTTTATTCCATTAATTTTGATATTTATTCTTGCACTAGTTATAAAGGTGTCAATTGCCCTATTAACTATTCTTATTTACCTTAAAACAGAATTCTTGAACATGCTTTCGAAATTGTTATTATCAAATGCCTCGAGTCAATGAGTTATCAGTTAGCATGACACTAATCTTATTTCTACATGTAAACGTCTAATCTACCATGCATGGTTTTACCGTTGTAAAGAGTTATTATCTGATGGAAAAACAGATGAAAATAGACAGGTGATAAAATGTGAGAAGTTGGTCCTTGATAGACGAATAGAATAACGCCCCTAGAAGAGGCCATTATGTGTTTATTTTTTCATGCCACCTTTCCTACTAATTAAAATAATTTGACACTTCCATGTCATGATTCTATGATTGCAAAAAAATCAAAGGTGCAACTAGTTGTTGTAGCTGTCCTAACTCTTAGATCTTGGGACTGGAAATGCTTTAATAAATTATTAATTATTGGTTAAACTCTAGTCCCATAACATCAACTATTCGATTTGGGGATACTAGCATAAAAAAAGGGGTAAATTAGAATGTACCCTATGTAATTTCGTCTATTACCACATCATATCGTAACTTTTTAAAAGGGTGAGGCTAAATTCACACACTTTATACCAAAATATCTATAAAGCCCACACTATTTATCAGGATTTCATAGGAACATTTTAAATACCAAAACTAACTTTTTGTGGTGGAAAAAGATGGGCCAATCAAGTTCATCTTTTCCTCCACTTTACTATATCCTTTTATCGCCCCCTGTCCTTGCCTTTCAATGCTGAAGACTTACAGTAGCAACTATCATCATCAACTAAAATGTACTAGAGCATAGCAAAAATTTATCAGAAAAATATTACTGATAATAAAAAACAAAAATTTTAGGATCATAAATTGAAGAGTGATACTTGATTTTCAAATATCTATTGATAATTTAAAAAAAAAACAAATGATGATCATGGCAATGATTTCATATTCATTTGGAACTAGAAGTTCGAAGTTCTCCAACTGATGGTAATAGTTGCTGCTATAGTTCATGAATATTAGAAAGTAAGGAATAGGGATGATGAAAGGACGCAATTGAGTGGGGGGAAAAATAAACTTAATTGGCGCCATCTTTAAACACCACAAAATGTTAGTTTTGGTATTGAAAAAGTTCCTATGAAATCCTGATAAATAGAATGGGCTTTATAGATACTTTGGTGTAAAAGATGTGTATTTAGACTAGAGAGATGTGGATTTAGCCCCACCTTTTTAAAATATCCACTAAATTCCCTTATTGTTTTATATAAAGTGAAAATTAGACAGAAAGTATGCTCGATAATGTTGTTGATAGAAATTCCAATGTTTTCTTTACTTGAATACTAAACACTACCAACGATTACCACTTTACATAAGATCATTGGAGGTTATGTTATAATATGTGAAATCTCAAGCCGCAAATAGTAATTAACGCAAAAGGAAAAAGGATCTACACATTTGGGTACTTCCAAAGCCAATGGGCCAAAATCTGTTGTGCAAAACGAATATTAAGTATTATTTCATCCGTAAATTATGTTCTTAAACTAATAAACAATGATCTTATCTCATTGACATGTCATTGTTTTGCCAAGTCTAACCTAAGTATTTTATATGCTATATTACTCAATCAAAGATGGCATCTAACATAGGTATTTTATATGGCATCTATAACTCAATCAAAGATGGCATCTAGTGCTCAAAAAATTAAAAAAATGGCTTCAATGTCCACCAAAAAAGTTATGGCTAGTACAATTGATTTCTTTAGTTGCAGCATCTATATAAACCTTGTTGTATCCATCAGCAAAGGAAATAATTGAATTTAGACAAGACAAAAGACAGAAAAGCAGAGATAATTAATACATCAATTTCATCGCACGCTGGTGAAGATATCCATATCTTTGGACCAGTCTTCTGACCAACCACAATTGCTTTGTTTTTAACATTATTGATTCAAGCAACGATTAGCCTTCTTAATAACTTGGATCATTCTCAATCCAGCTTCTGCAAACAGACTTTATGGGTGCTGATGACAAGGTTCTTGGTTATGATGAAGTTTCACTTCACAACACTTCCAAAGATTGTTGGGTCATCATAAACGCCAAGGTAATAAGAAATATATTTCTGTTCATCTTCCTGATTTAATATGATTTGGTCTTGGTGTCAATAGAGCTAAAATAATTTTTTGCTTTAATTTTTGGAAATGAGAGCTGGAACAATTTTAGTCATTTGGTTTTCTGAAAATAGAGACAACACCAATAGTTTGAGAAGCTATAGATCATACATAATCTTCTGAGTTGTCAGAGTAACAAGTTATGCTCATATTAGTTCATTTCATGCACTAGCTATTCATAGATTTTTCTTACGACAAAGCCACTCTAGTTAACAAGTTTCTTGGACCATTGTTTGATTGAATAAATTTGATCTGGGATGGATTCAAGGAAGTACCTCCGCCAAAAATATTTCCAAATTTGAAGGTGGGACGGTAAGAAAGTGACAGAGCTGATGCTATTTATGTTAATGCTATTTCAGTTATTCAGTTTGAGAATTATGGAAACAGATAAGGAGGGCTTAGACCAATTTTGGCGTAGGATTTGCTGATCCCCAAGGTTGTCATCTTAGCAAATTAAGACTGATAACTTTGGAATTCATCTCTTGTTCATCACTTAGCAAGGCTGTCTTCAATTTCCGTACAGGCATATGATGTTACAAACTTTTTGGATGACCATCCGGGCGGTGGCGATGTTTTGCTAGAAGCAGCAGGTACAGCAGAACCATGACTTGGATTGTTTTTTTCATTTTTTGTCTACACAAAATGATTTATTACTCAATGTGATTTGGAGTTAATTCATTCCCAAATATATGGCCTGTTTAGAGGGAATTTTTCTGATAACAAAAAAAATTTTATTGCTAAATTTGTTGAAAATTGTCCAGCACAATTTTGCTGAATAAAAGTAGGGGAAGAGTTCTACAAAGATTCAATGGAGTCAAATATTTTGGCAAAATGGCCAATTTAATGAGCTACTTCGTTGATTTCTCTTGAACCCAATTTAAATCGATGAAACATGGATCATGCAAAGCTGTTTGCAACTCAAGTAGTATCCATCATTTGGGTAAGACAATTACAAAGTTTCCTACTCTTAGGAGGAAATTTCTATAATCTAAGGAGTCATGAGATTGGTGGAACATACACCAAAATATATATGGGCCTCTTCTATTATGTCTATGTTGCACGAATGTGATGAGACTCTCTAGGTAAGAAGGTTTTGTCCTAAAATAAGATCTAAATATTTTTTTGAGGGAAATAAGAATCTGAATTTGATTTCATCATCTATGATGCAACATCTATGTTAATCCTTGCTTCTAAAAAGGATATCATGGAAATTAGACAAGAACTTTTCTTTTCAATATAAAAAACGTGTTTGAATCGAATTGGCTCAATCACCATTACGGATCAGAAATTTTTTTTTTTTTTATGCATGAAACAGTGAGATTGATTGGCAGGAAAGGATGCAAGTGAAGAATTCGAGAGTGCAGGTCATGGTAGTGCTGCAAGATTAATGCTAGATGAGTATTATGTTGGGGAGATTGATCCATCCACCAAGCCTAGTCCCAAGCCTGCTGCTACTGCACACTTGCTTAGTAAAGAGCCCAAAGATGATAATGCAAAATCATCTGGACTCCTTGTCAAGCTTCTTCAATTTCTGCTCATTTTAGGATTGGCTGCAGGAATACATTTTTTCACAAAGTCAAGTTCAAATTTTGAGCTTTGAGATCTTAACCAAAAGAAAGAAAAAATAAAAGCACTGACCTCCAGTTGGCTTCTTGCATGCTTGTGATTTAGACATTCTACCAAAGTTTATGAAACTCTTGCGTTTGTCCCGTTTCTGATCAAGCTTTTGCTCAATTGAAACAACCTCATAAATCATTATTGGTGTAAGAACATGTCAAATAGGAGCATGTTGTGAAAGACACAAATAAGTTTGCTGTGGTGTAAGACAGTAGTTTATAAATCTCTACTAGCTATTTTCATGATTTTGCTTGACATTTTGGGTAAGAAAAACCTTTTTGTTTTGTGAAGCCTATCCATTACCCCACCTTTTTAATCAAATACTTTACTGCTAACCAATATTATTAGGCGGTTTTAGCAGACAGTCTATCTATTATTTTCTTGATGTTGTTAATTGTTTCTCCTTTTATTTATTTCTCTGTACCATTATGCCCATTTTTTGTTATAATAGGGGAGAGGTCAAATTTAAGCAGCGACGAAGAAATTCAGAACCTCTAATTTGACTGTGCCCAATTTAAGTAATAAAAGAGAGAAAAGCGAAGGGAGGAAACTTTGCCCTTTATGCTTTTTCTCTCTTTTTGGGCCGTGGGAAGATACTTTAATGGATCCAATTCTTTCCACAGTTTTCTTGAATTGTTCTGGACCTAGTGTGCCCTATTTTGTTTTGGTCCAAGTTTGCCAAACATGGTATGCAAAAACAGGATGCGTCTACAGCACAGAAATAATTCTGATGTCTGATGTGGTAGAAATTTAATCTCAACCACAAGATGGACTTGTGTGCGATATAGCCGTTGGATTGTACTTAGAAGAAGTGGCACGATTTCAGATGTAGTGGTTGGATACCGGTTGTAGAAGTAAAAGCTTTCATTTGACCAACCAAAGAAAATGATACATTGTTTGAAGGGTAAAAAATGAATTTAACATATAAGGACACATAGGGCTGCCCAACCCGACACCATTTGTCACTGTAGACATATAAAATGAAGAAGCGCGAAACCGGACCAAGAAAAATAGCAACATGAATTAAATAAATAATTCGTGGAGGAGTGATATAAAGAACTGGTAATTCATAGAAAAAGGGGAAAATGAGCAGTTTATGGAGGAAAGCCAAAAATAAATAGTAATTAATGGGAACACAGGTATTACATATTAAACCCATTTATTCACTAGAAATTTTACTCTAAGGAAGGGAGAGAGACGGAGGGTTTGGAGTTTGTGATTGTGTGGAGATGATTTTGAAGTTTAAGGAATGGATATTTGAAATTTAACGATCGTTATACAACTTTCAAAATAAATAAATTCATTCTAAATTTTTTTGGGATAATTTCATAAACCAAATCACGATCACTCTCTGTAAAGTATCACTTTCCCATAAACGACCAGCTCTTTATGGCTTTCCTCTATTATAAGAACAGAGTACCCATTTTTTCATAAATAAATTTATTTATCAAATAAAATAAAAATAAACCCGTTCCTCCATTATAAGAACAGAGTACTCATTTTCCCATAAATAAATTTATTTATCGGATAAAATAAAAATAAACCCATTTTTTAATAAAAGACCAGCTCTTTATGGCTTTCCTCCATTATAAGAACAGAGTAAACAGAGTACCCATTTTTCCATAAACAAATTTATTTATCAGATAAAATAAAAATAAACCCGTTATCTAATAAAAGACCAACTTTTTATATCTTTCCTCCATTATAAGAACAGAGTACCCATTTCCCATAAACAAATTTATTTATCTGATAAAATAAAAATAAAACCATTTTCCAATAAAACAACAGCTCTTTATGGCTTTCTTCCATTATAAGAATAGAGTACCCATTTTTCCATAAACAAATTTATTTATCGGACAAATAAAAATAAACCCGTTTTCCAATAAAACACCAGCTCTTTATGACTTTTCTCCATAAATTATCCATTTTCCCATTTTTTTCATAAGCTAATTTATTAGTTGGATAAAATGAGAATAAAATTAGGTTGAATGCCAAATTACCCTTTTAGGATACAATGGAAAACAAGAAACTGACCTATAGCAAGTTTAAACTCCGTTTCCACTACAAAGATATGCAAGAAATTGTTTTTGCAAACTCAAGACATCTAATTTATAAAGTCTCAAGGAACCTTTAGAACCATTATAAAAAACAACTTATTCATTCTTAATTTTTGTTTGGAATAATTTCATAAACCTCCCCGGAGGTTTCTAACAATTTTACTTGGCACTCACAAATATTGAAAAATCTCACTTGCCTCTATTTTTTTTTTTTGGGTCTGAAACTCACTTGCCCCCTTACTTTAAACTATTTGTTTATTTACAGCTCATTTTGAAATATAATATTAAAAAATTCATTTTGAGTATATTAAAAAATATAATTTCAAATTTACCTTTTTGTTGTCTTACTTTGTATTACCAAAAATTGAGTATATTAATAACAAATAAAAATAAAAAAGTATAAGGATTTATTCTGATTGGATAAAATAGAGTGCATTTTTTAAATACCAATAGTTAGTATTTGAATACCAAATGGAAGTTAGGCACTCATGACAGTCCATTTATTGTGATTCCAAACTGTGTATTTTTTCCCCTCCATTCCAAACGGTGTATTTCTCAAAATTTAAATAAATTATGCATCAGCCATACTAATTTGTTTGGTGGAGGAAATAGATAGTTTTCTTCTTCCATTTAATTTTCGTGCCCATCAGTCATACTTTACTCATCGTGTTTATCCCTGCTGAAATTAGTTATCCCTGCTATATGTTAAATAACGTAGCCCATCAGTCATTCTTCACGTTAGGGCCTCTTCCCAGTGTTTATCCCTGCTATATTTCAAATAAACCCGTTCAGTTATGGCTGATGAGAGTACAAAAATTTGATTGTACTTAAATGGGTATGGGTATGGGTATGTACAATTTTTGCATATGGGTATAAATGGATTACCCAATAATACCCATTTAAATAATTGGGTATTATTGGGTAACCCATCAAACCCAATTAACCTATTTAAAATTATTTTCTCCCAAACCTCCTATCTTCCCCCACCCGTTAACTTGCTTATTTTTCACCATTATCAATTTATGACAAGTTTTAGTCTCTTTTCTTATTTTTCCAAAATGAAATTTTAAATTTATACACGAAAAATTGCTAGAGGTTCAAAATTTTTGGATTAAGTTTTTATGTTAACTTTTATAGTATTTAGTTCAAAATTTTATATTCTTATTGTTTAATTATTAAATAGTATGTAATTTTACGACATATAGTACATATGGAAAAAATTGATAATTAGGTTTATTGAGTATTATAAATAAATATTTTAAACTAATGATGGGTGTAAATGATGGTATAAATTGATAACTTAGTTTGCAAAAATGAATTTAAATGAATTTACAATAAGTTAAAATAAATGGGTTATAAATGGATAATTGGGTTATCCAATTCATTTTTTGACTTACCCATTTATACCCATCTAATTAAATTGGTATAAATGGGTTGACTCATTTATACCCATTACCCATTTTACCTAACCCAAACCCGCCCAAATCACCCATTTTGACACCTCTAAGTACACGGTACACGTGTAATGAAAAGTAGTACTATTACTAATTCACATTCGATGAAACGAATACCAGTACTAATATACATGTAAACAAAATAAGGTAATAAAGATTAAAACTCCTAAGATGAAAGAAAATAAGGCAATAAAGATTAAACCTCCTAAGATGATAATTCCTCTCCTTATGAATTTAATTAAATAATATAAATATATTATTATTTAATATTAATAAATTTATAATATATATTTATATAATATATTATATGTGTATATAATAATTATAAATATAATTACATTTATATTTATTATTATATGTTAATTTTTTTAACGAATAGCGGGACGAGCCCTGTTTCTAAAAGGGAATCAAACTTGGCTTTTATCCAAAACCTTCCAAGTTACTAGGGAATTGGGAAACGCCATTGCATTTTTATATATAATTCCAAAATTTCAATTCCGATAATAGTAATCCAAACAATGATTATGAGGTTTATTCCAATTCTCTATACCGAAATCCTTTTACCAAATACCACATAATTATGCATTCAATCCGATAGTCGATTCTTTGTTGCTAGTTCATAAGAAAACGGTAATAGATATGGATCATTTCGTTATGCATTTTCTAATGCGTTGTAACACTATGACGATAATAGTTGATTATAGCGATTAATCAGATAGTCGATTCCGATAATTATAACTAATTGAGTCTCTAATTTGATTATAGATTCCTTGGTGCTAACTCATAAGTAGATGGTTGTAAATATGGATCATCTTGCTATGAATTCCCCAATTCCTCCATGGGTTAAGATGATAACAACTCATTATAACAATTAAATTGAATTGTCAATTCCGACGATTATAACTAATTAAGGGTCTAATCTAATTGTCGATTCCTTGATGCTAGCTCATAAGATGGTGGTAGATATGGATCATTGTTATCTCTCAATTTGTTTTTGGACTAAGAAGATAATAACTCATAATAGCCATTAATCAGATAGTGGATTCCAACGATTATAACTACTTATGCCTATTTATACAACTGTTAATAAGGACTATTTATATGATTGTTCATGGTCAACTAAGTCGAACATAGTTGATTAAAGTTACTAATATGATCTCACCTACATCAATTAATCATAATAACTGAAAAGCGTGTGGTTTTGACAAAATTAAAGCACGCCATTTGCCAAAATGATAGATCACGCCTTTTAGGCATCCAAAAACTATCAAATAACGCCCAAGTTTTTATTACAAATATCCCTCCTGACCATTGGCACGCGGGCAATTTGGAAATATCTTAATCGTCGGAAGTATTTCGCGCAATTGCATTTCGTGCCATTGCATTTCTTCGGCGTCAAGAGAAGGTCTTACTGAATACATTATTAATTCCGAGAGGTCCCACAACAATTTTTTTTGCCAGTAACATACCCCTGTCTCAACCGGTTAAAAGGTTTGCTTGCTTGGCTCATATGGCCCACCACTATCTATTTGTCACCTTTATGTTGGTTTTCGACATTAGTAGAATACATTTGTTTCTTCATTTGAGAAGAAACCTGCAAAAACATA